GTTTGGTTTGGAAAAAGGTTCAACAGAAGCATGGTGTCGCATGGTGTGGTGTCAACTGAGGCTTGGGTGAAGACAATGAAAATAAGAAGGAATTGAGAAGTTCTTGATGGCTGACAGAAAAGTTTGGAAAGTAAATCGGGACCTTGCTTGCTATGTGCTTTATGCTATGATTGAGGTTTGGCTTTTGCAGAATGGCCAGTTTGGTTGAGAGCAAAAAGGTTCATAATCAAATTTCACAGGGGAACCACGAATTTTATTCCTCCGAAACTGGTTCTTGTTTTTGTGCTTTGTAGCGACTAGCAGACTCAAGCTTCGTAACCTTATAGGCTTATACTGATTTTATACCATACTGAACCAATTCAAATTTATTACCTATTATTGAACCAACAGCATAACAATTTTTAGCATCAACCATTTACTTTAATCTAAGGGCTTGGTCAATTTATTCAGAACTAAAAATGGAGCTCCAGAGCGAGTAACAGCCGCGCCTAGCCACGAATTCTCAGAAGCTAGAACTTTAAATAAAATTATGATATTGGTTATCAAGCATATCTAAAAAAGCCCTTGAAATTTGCCATAACCATTTTCATAAATAAACAATTCAAACCCTTTTTTGTTTTCAAATTTTGAAAAAGGAGAATCAAAAGAGGTTTTAAAGCACTGGTACTCATCTAGATGTAATGGCGTTTGGAGGCGGGATTGTGGTGAAAGAAACTGATGGGTAGGTGAAAGAAGGGAAATTGGTAAAGAAAACCAAAGATCCCATTCTGACGACCAAAACCCAACAGCAAAAGAAAGCACAAAACCCGTACTATGATGCCATTGAAAAAGTTTGATGTGCAGGGCTAATGGAAAGGCAGGGCAGCCCGTAGAGAACCCACAGGTATTTTAAGAGCCACCGATTGAAAATGCTGCTCTCCCCTATTCGCCTCAGCCCCTTTCTCTCTAATAGAACTCTTGGAAATGGAAAAACAATAAAAACTTTATGATTGAACATTGAAGGCTTGACCTAGGTTATTGCTGCAGTTTCTCCTGAGAACTGCTTGGCAATGGCATAGCGGCTGAAACTGAATAAACCCTAGTGGTAAAACTCAGTCTATTTATCGAGCAAACGAGGGCAATCGATCACGTGACGCTCACGTGGTGTATATATGCTATTGTTTTCATGTTAGATTTTTTTTTTTATTTCCTTATTGTTGTTTGGAGTTAGAAAGAAAAGGGTAAGACGGAAATTAGAAGCAGAGGGAACAGAACATCTCTATCCGGCAAGGAGTAGCAGTTTCGAACCGAGCATAAAAATGATATTCAGACACGGAAGCTTTGTTTGAGTTTTTCTTGTATATATTCTCAAGTCTCTTGGTATATTCTTTTTCCAATTTCCTTGATATATTCTTTTTGTTTCCCCTTTCCTGAGCAAATTTCGTTGAGAACTTATTATATACTCTTAGCCATTGACATCCACATACACAAGAAATCTTGTTGCAAAATCCAGTTACGTCGTAATTTCATAATCTCCATCCATATTTTATCTTTTAATTTGCTTTGCTTGCATTTCTTACATTTTCCATGCTTGGTTGCCGAGAAACTGCATGCAAACAAACTGCCCTTGCGTAAACTTCGTTGGTTCAATGCTCACAGCTTCAAATTACTTCTAGAATTGAAGCAGGAGAGCGAGAACTTGTATATTTCTTTGATTCGAATGAAACCCAAGTCTTCTAAATCCCATTGTTTATGTTTTCATTTTGTATGGGCTGCAGCAGTTGATTTTATTCTCTAGATTCTATCTCATATGCTGTGTTGCAGGATTATACATGCTTTGGTGCGCTAGGCATGTTCTCTTGGTGCAGTAAGTTTGTTTCACATGGAACTGACTGTCTCAATCGTGCATTCATGTGGCATGGTATGAATCAAATTTATGTTTAGTAAATTTATTTGTCTTTACAGTGCCACCATTCTCATTTTTTTAAGCATGAATTTATATGTCAATTTAGATTGTTATTGTTTTAGGTTCTGCTAAGGTTCTGCCATGAAGTTGTGAGACTTAGAGTAGAATGATGAATGGTACTACATGTCTTTGTGTGTATGAAAAATTTGAGAGGCTACGGTAAAGTAAAAATATAAATATGGGTGAAGAACCAAGTAGGATAAATATTGGGCAAATCCATTTCATTGGTTGTAATACCTGGTTAAACTCATAGGTTGAAAGGTAACTGCTGAGTTTAAATTCTGAAATCTTTTGCTTTGAAAGTGAAATATCTGATTCAGATTCAACCATATTCTCTTGACATGAAAATTTTAAATTCTTCCAGGTCTATTGATCCTAACAATCACAAATATAGGATGCAAATTTGAAGGGTTTAGTGAGACTGGCCATTATAGAATAGAGAAATATTGGACTATTCAGTCTTATTTATTCACACTGTATATTTAAATAGTCGAGTTGCAGTTATAGATCTAGTTTCAATATGAGATAATGTTTTGAACTTAGAAGGAACAACATAAATGGAATGGTTTCAAGGTGGATCAACAATTGCTTCACGGCATAGTGTCTGCAAATGGGATGCCAATGAGGCCCTAGAAGATGAGGGAGACTGCTTTATCAAGCCATTCCCGTATCTATATCTGTTATTAGTGTTGGATAATAAAAGATCATGAGATTATTAAAATGCTGAGTGTTTACTGCTAGCGCATGGTTTATTCTGGTTTCTGCTCTCTACTGTCCTTTCTTTCTCCTTTCTCCCCACATCATTTTGGAGACAAAACCATCCATCAAGTACCGAGTGGGAAAGGAAGGTCCTGAGTTAGCTAATTTTCCCCACTCCCTGTTGAATAATGTTTTAGATTGCATGATCCCAATCAGTGGTGCATTTGCAATCTGGATCATGAAAGATAATGTTTCGGAGATGGAACACAAGCATTCCTTCCTTTTAGTTGTTGGCTTACTGAAAAGAGACAATCTTAAAATATGTGGTTGCTCTGATGGCAGACACATTATTAGAATTATGAATTAGATAACAAGCATCAGGAATTCTTACCTGCCAGCTTATTCCATGCTTTCAAATTCTCATTATTGGCTTTTTTGTAGAGGACATTGGTAAAGGTTCTTGTGATGATGACTCTGAGTTGGCTTTTTACAGATAATGATGTATTTAAATTTTCTAAGCTTCTTTGCTTGTCTGGTTTGCTGAAATAATTGTGTTCAGTACTTTTATTTTATTCTTATTAAAATCTCAATATAAATTTTGAAGAGCATGAAATTTGGGTTTTTCTCATCCACGTTCCCAAATTTGATGGGAGATCCGACACATTTGCATTAATGACCTTATTTATGTAATCTCTTGATCTAAGTTACCGGGAACATGGATGGTTCGTGGGATGGGAACCGAAATATAAACTATTATTTATATGGAATGCAGTACAATAGGGGTAGTCTTCTTGTTTATTTATTAATTTAATTAGAAATATTTTTAATGAGATAATTAAATTAATTTAAAAATTAAAATTAAAATTTGTCAAAACTAATAACAATATCTAGTAGTGTTTCTTGAAAAATAAAAAAGCCATAAATACAGATATGTTTGCCAGTAATTTTGTTGTTTTTAGCCGTAAAATAATTATATAGAAACTACTAAATTGGATCGCAAGTTATCCAGGATTGGGATCCTGCAATCCAATTCCAAATTTGTAAGGGTTTGAGTGAATTATGGAAACTAGGCTCCAGATGGTTATTAGTTTTAAAACGGTTTGTACTCCTTTTTTATTTCAAATCATGCATAACAGATATCCATGCTCTAGGTTCTTCAAGTTAGGCTTTCTGATTAGCCCCATACGTTCCTTATGTTAAATAATTTCTATAACTTACGATTAAAGTTTCACTGCATATATGAAGTTATTTTCTCCTTCCCTTGATTTTAGACACAAATATTACGTTTTTGTTTGATAAAGTGAGTTAAAGACATGGTTTCTCCTCAAGTTTGAATTTTCACTTGTCTGATTGTGGATTATGTTTATTATTACTATTATTTAAGATTTTTTTGTTTTAAATAAATTATACATCTGGAAAGTTTTATATAGCTCTCTTTCTTTGTCTTTTTAAAGAAACTGTTTGTTCCTGTTTGCCCAACACCTTTATGTTTTGCTTATTGGTTAAGGTTCTCTCTCTCTCTTTTGCTCCCTCCCACTCCTTTTTTTGCTTTTCTTTTAAATTGTTTTCTCCTCTCTGTACAATGTCTTGGCAAAGTAGAGAGGATTTTTTCTTGTCTTTCTATCTATTGTGTCTGTATTTGCTTGCATTTCTTTTCTCAAAAGTTTTTAAATCAAATTTATGTCATGGAAATTTGAGTATATTTTAAACATTCTTGTTGTCATCAATACCATTTTTCATTAATTTTCAACCTATTAAAAACAGATATGTTTCTGATGGACCAAATTAGAAATTTTGTTTCTCTCTCTTACTAACTCATAGCACTTTCATTGACATAAATTGGTTCTTCTCTTCCGCCATTTTCTGCCAATGTCAAGGTACTTGCATGTATGTTGTTCAGACCCCTTTATTTGCCCTCACTTATTCCGTAGTTGTTTCATTTATCCAACCCAGCATGTTGCCTGGTCCTTAGATATGCTTCTGAAAACTTTGCAAGTTTTATTTATTCCATTATTGAAATTTTATTTATGCCTTTTTAGCATCTTATTCATCAAATGAGGCAGTTGACACTGAATTTTTGTCACATGTAAATTTTTTTAAATAAATTTCTTCCTTTTCTTTCAGTGTTTTAGTGGGCAAGGGTTGAGAAGTGCTATAGTTTTTGAAGCAGAGAGAGGATGTAGGAATGCTTTAGGAAGAAAAATGAGGTAATGCACTACATTCAGCTTTCTGGTTGCTTAAAGCATGATGATTGATAAGGAGTGTGTTACTTTGAGTTGCCTTCAAATTTATTTCAGGTTTAATAATTTTCTCCTCGATAAAGTTTCAAAAATTTGTTCTCGATCCAAGCACAAGTTTTCAGAAAAGTTATTGGAGGAAGTACATAATTATGATACAGCCAGTATTGTAGATCGCTCAAAGCTGCTAAATAAGGTAGATGCCTATGTACAAGTTTTCGCTATTGGATGTTGCTTGTAATTCTCAAACAGTTTTCTTTGTATCTCTGTTTGAAATAAATGTTTCCTTTAGTTTCTATGCTTATATTATGTTTTACATCTTGTTGCATTGTGTAGAATATATATATATATATATATATTTGTTTTGTGGTCATTTTTTTGTTCATATTTTATTTTACTTGTTGAAAGCAAGCTGGATTTTATGGGTTGAGATTACCCCTCATGATTTTTTGACCAATACTCCAATACATTCATTGTTACCAACCATATTGTATAATACCCTAACATGAATTGTGGATCTTATGCATTGGATAATATTGGTTAAAAATAAATAATGGAGGGGTGTGAAACCAACATTCCATAGCCATATAACTTGACTTGTGCATGTTTTGCTGTTGAATGGGCATATATGTAATGTCACTTCATTATGCTGAGATGCTGCAAAACCAAATACAATCTATTAGCATTTTGCCAGTTCAGCTTTTTTCCTAGGCCTGATGGAATCTTCACAATATGTGCCTGATTTTGTAAAAATCCAAATAGCATATTGATTATTAAACTAGGCAGATTCCTGGCTTGCCATACTTGACTTTATTAATTTACACAATGTATCTAGTGAATTTATTGGGTTTACAAGTGATATTTTTCAGCAGGGTAATTGTAACTTTGGGAAATCTATCAACTGTGATTTTTAAAATGTTAATGAGTTGCTAATGAATTGGAGATGTTCCTCAGGAAGAGGTAATAGGTTATTGCATAGAGACTGGATAAAGAAACTATGAAGCCTTTGAGTGAGTGATTCCAAGAATTATAAAACTTCTGGCTCTTTATTGGACTGCTCGGATGTTTAAAGCTTTCACTAATAAGAAATTATGCATTCATCTATAAGGGGTTATATCTTGTGTTTCATCTGTGTAGCATCTACAATCTTTGAACCTGGACAGGAGTTATCCTTATTGAGTCTCCATTTAATCACATACTATATAATAACTATCAAAGTTAACCAGAAGTTATAGGAGTTTTATATGTTAAAATGTTTTTCCAACGTACTGTTTGTTGCAGATTAATTGGGTGGGTGACTAGATTTTATTATCCATAACTCTCGACATTCAAATTTATATACCCTAAAAGAACATTCTAATTAGCTTCTTGGTAAGATCTCATATTTTCACTCATGGCAAATTAGAATTTCAATCCTTGTGGTTTGAGAGAAAATAATTTTAAAACTTGTGGTAGTTTTATCACTTGATATCTTGTGGTTTGCACTGTCCAATAGTAGGAGTTTATGCTGTTAATTTAAAATAAAATAATGACAATGCCACTCTATAAAAATTTTCCACCTTTTCTCTTTCATAATTTCTCCCTCTCTCCTCTCTTATGCTCTCTCTATTTTCTTCTTCAAATCCATACTGATGACCTGATGATTGAATTAAGAGGACTCTTAGACTATTAATGCTTATATCATTGTGACATGCAGTACTTTATATTACTGCTTACCATGCAGGAAGCAGATCTCTAAAGTCTTTTTTCTTTCTCTGTTTTTTTCCCTGCCATTTCTTCATGATAAATTATTTATTTTATTATATATTATAGTATTTAATCCTAACTAATATTACATTTTCTTTATTTCTTTCTTTTTGGTTGTTCAAAAGGCCAGTGGGGGCTTGAATCGTACAATAATTATATTTGATATAAGCGCATGTATTGAGAATCAAAATTTAATACTTCTATATTTCACATTTTTCCATATTAATGGTTGATATCAAGTTAGTTGAAAACTTGCACAGATAAATTAAGAATGAACAAATTTATAAAATGGAGAATGCATGTTATAGTTGGAGAGTGGGTGTTAATGTCAATTTATTTACAAGTTAAGAGCTTAACTCCCTGTTGTTAAATGCTGCAAAATAAAGTGCGAAGTCAGAAAGTTGAAGCCACCAAGTTGAAAGTGCTTTTTTCTTAAACCTTAACAGATGGAAAGTGTAGACGGTGCAGTATTCCCTTTAACAAAGCTTCCAGTTCGATGATCTGTTTGAAATTATGAAAACAGCCCATAGGCTGGTCACCTATTCGTTGTTCTGCCAAATGGGGCTGTTCTGATTTATCTATTGTTTCTGTAATCACATAATGTGTAAGAAATTATTGTTTTTCAGTTTTAGATAAAAATCCATTCATATATTTCCGATCTCAGCTTATTCTTTGCACTAGTTTGCTGTTTATCTTGGCAAGTTTTTTAGGTTGTTGCTTACAAGCGGCTGTCCGCAGCTAGGTTCTTTTGACCTATCACATGGTGTCTTTAATGGAAAACAGGTTTGGATGAAATCTACTAGAAGGAGTACATAAGAGAAGAACAGCCAAAGATATCAAATCTAAAAGTCTGGCTTTTTATCAACTGAATAAATCTTAATATATGGTAAAACACTGTTAACAAGGCATTACAAGATTATTTATATGGCAGCCCAATAATCTCAGCCCTTGATATCCTCGCAATCTAAGTTAATAGCCATCCAAGTTCATTAAGTTTGAGCTACATGACTCTTAAACAAATCATGAACAATAAAAAATCAGGAAATGAAAATAAACAAATAAAAATTACAAAAACTTATGAAAATAGGATGTTAGGCTAATGGGCTCCTGTATCATAGGTGGAAATGGGAGTTTATGTTCAGATCAGATGGCAAGATAGGGGCTGCAAGCAAGAATGCAGTTCGCTGCAATTTGCTGCACAGAAAGTTCAGTTTGGCTTTTGCAATATCTTAAGATTACGGTTAATATTATGAACTTGAATTTTATGTCTGTTACTTGATGCTGATATACTAATTTATGATACATCTTCTGTGTCATTCCCTGGGATAAGTTATGTTTTTGATCTCAAGAATTTCCTGGCAGCTTGCAGTAATGTATATAAAATGTTTCTTTTCAGTTTGTAATGAGGCATTTAAAAGTTTTGTAAAAGAATCTGATGGTGTTTTGCATATGGACTTTGAAATGATCCTCTGCTCTGCCCTTATATACATCTGGAGTTTTTTCCATTCAAAACTTCCAAATTTCATTGCTTTCAGGTATCAGTTTTGATGGGTTATAATGGTCTTCATGATTTAATTGAGAATGAAAGACCTGATGAGCAACCTGATAGAAATCTCAAAGACACCACAGATGATTTTGAACTTTCCTTGGCATGTAAAAGATTTCCTTCCATCACTTTGGGTAGTTCCCCCCCAGTAGAACTGTATGATGAGACAACTAGTAGCTCACGAATCAGGGGCCTCTTAGCCGCTCAAAGATTTTTCTTTAACTCTATGGATGAAAAGTGGGTTAATCCAAATGGTCTGTGTGAAACATGGCCTCCTCTATATCAACCCCTTTCAGAGGCTGGTTCTTCTATAGTAGTAGAAGAAAGTACAGACAATTTGCATCAGTCTTCTTGGTCTACAACTTTGGAATCTGAAGATAAGTCAGATCATCTACTTACTGTGGCAAAAAGTACTGGCAATTTGCATCAATCTTCTTGGTCCATGACTTCAGAATTTGAAGGAAAGTCAGATCATCTTACTGTGGAGGAATCTTCTAGCAAAGTGGGGTTTGAACCACAGTCAGATGCTGCAACTTTTGATTTATTTCTTGATAGATCCATCAGTTGCATTCCTGGTTTAAGTAAAAGGCACTCTCACCAGCTAGAAGAATGTGGCTTTTACACTGTAGGTTCTCTTGAAATTATGTTAAAACCACAGTTGATGGAGGTTCTTGTGTTTATACAAGCTTGGTTTACCTTATTTACATTTTCTTTACCTTCCTTCCATGCAGTTGCGGAAACTGTTACATCATTTTCCTCGGACTTATGCAGATTTACAGAATGCGCAAATTGAGATCAACGATGGGCAGTACTTGATTTTTGTTGGGAAAATTTTGTCTTCAAGGTGACTCACTACTTGCTCACGAAATTCTAATCATTTTCTTGACTGGGGCACTAATTGTTAGGCCTTTATTTGGTCTACTAGATATCTTCATTACCATTTCTATAGCTGCTCTTGGTGCTAACCTTAGATTAAGGATGAGATGAGGTTCAACCCTCAAGTGAAGTGCCTTGATATACCTATGGTGCCAACTCTTCTATGGTGCTAATATTTGTCTACTTGGTAAATCAAAACCAGAACATTTAAAGTATTTGGAATTATGATGTTTAAGAATGCAATTGTTTGGATCAAGCATTGAAGTGAAGTTGTTTACTGATGACAAGATATGCTTACATATTATATGATGAGAAACCCACTTGGCATAAAACATCACAACATTTAACTAAACCTGACCTTGTAGTCTTTGTTTATCCCAAAAACCTGAAAAAGTTCTCTTGCATACATAAATACATATTAAAAATTGTTGTACATACAAAAATGCGTATTGAAATTAAATTGGCTTTATCTTTTGAAAGTTCTCAAAATATGTTTGTACAATTTAGTTTAGCAAATGATAAATATAAAACTTGAGATTGGGAAAAAATATGTACTGTAGCTTGCAAATTTGTTAGTAGAACACAGATTAACATTTATAGCAAATATTGAAATGCTCAATTGTGAATGATATGCTGATGCTTCTAGGTTGTTAATGTTTATCATTTTTCCTGCAGGGGAATTCGAGCCAGTTATTCTTTTTCATTTCTTGAGGTGGTTGTGGGTTGTGAAGTTGCAAATAATGAACCAACTTTGGGGCACATATATGATGATGATAGGGATACTGAGGAGGAGAAGACTATCTATTTGCATTTGAAGAAGTTTTTCCGCGGTGCTCGTTTTGCTTCTCAACCTTTTCTTAGAAGTCTTGAAGGAAAGCATAAATTGGGAGAATTTGTATGTGTTAGTGGTAAGGTGAGTTTCTTTTTCTTTCATACGTTTCAAAATGTTTTGGCTAATATCCTTGCCAACACGTTGTTTCTTTCAAAGAGTAATATCATGCATAAAGGTTGACATATATAGGCTAAATTCTGGCTTGTGAAACTGCTTTATTGTCATCTATATGGCCATCAGTACTGATGGATTTGGTTTTTGTTAATTAATTGTTTGCTTCAGTTACCTTAACTCTTTTAGCAAACATGTTTTTGATAATTTTGGTGAGGTGTTGTGAAGCAAATGCTGTAACTGGATTGTGAACATAAAACATTTACTTAAGGGCTTCTGGATTACTGAGCTTATTGTTTCAGGTTTTGCTTGTAATTTTCATGATTTGAAGAAGTCTCTATTGTATTGACTGGCTTTCTTATCAGCATAGTGAAATAAACACTGATTCATAAAGATTTTTCATCTATATAAAAAGAATGAAAACTTCTACGAATGTCATTTCTAAGATGCTCTCGTTCATCCTTAACTATTGATTTGTACTTCTTACAGAATGTTTCATCCAACAATTGTATTCAAATAGTTTGTTTTCAATCTAGGTGAGGGCTATGGGTACTAAAGATCACTATGAAATGAGGGAATACAGTATTGACGTGCTAAAAGATGAAAATGATTCATCTGTTCTCACAAAAGGGAGGCCTTATCCTATCTATCCTTCAAAAGGTGGCTTAAAGCCGAATTTTCTCAGAGACATCATTGCAAGGTTTGTCCGTCATAATTTTTTTTTTCATTATTCTATCCGTGGATTTCAACAAAGAGTTATTAGATCAGTGCTCGAGTTCTTATGTCTGCATGATTTTATTTTCTAACACTAATTCTTTTCCGCTTTATATGTTTTTATGTTATGTGTGTGTGTGTGTGTGTATATATATATATATGTATGTACACACATATACATATGTATGTATGAACACATAATTAATTAAATAAAAATCCTCTTAATTCCTAGGCATGCCTATGAACTGTAAAGCTGTCTCAATCCATAAAGGTTCTGTTTCTGTGTTGAAAAATTTCTATTCTGTGGTAATTTGAGTTGAACTATTGTAATAGTGTTTATTGCTGCTATGAATATTATCTACCTGACTGAGTACGGAAACAATATTGTTTTTGGAGCCAGTTAATACCTGAATACCTATTTTATTGGAAAGTTTGCTTTTCTGGTGGGTTTGTTGATAGATGTGCACGTATATATGTTTCATCTGGGGTGGATCCTTTGATTCAGTTCAGTGTTTCAGAGGGGAAAGAGTGAGACAAGGTGTTTTACTTTTTGCTTAGATGGGATGTATGCCTTGAAGCATTTGGGAATATGGCTCTTAGGTTGTATCTTTTATTTAAGAAATTGATGTAATTAGTTAAACATTGTGAATTGAAAAATACCATGACTAACAATTCAAATTCATTGAATTAATTTTTAAAATTTTTTAATTGGCCTCCACGGCTTTATTCTTTTTCTTTTTTATAATATAACTCTAGCACTGTGCTTCACTTTTCTTTTTTTTTTCTAAAACAAATCAGAGGTGCTCTCACCATTTCAAAACACAGGAAAAGGAAGAATTGTATTCAGTCTTTGTACTTTTTGTTAGAGGCTTAATCAAGCAATCTTGTGCCTCAATGCAATTGGAGAATGCCTAACCCTGGAGCATATCCCAGTGCGCTCTCCTCTAATGCCTTTGATCATGGCCAAAAAGATTATTAGGAGAAATTTTTGTTTGGTTAATCTTTGAGTCAACATTTGCATAATAATTTAGTTGAATCATGATTGCTTTTAATGTCCTAACATCTTCACCAGAATGGTGCAGTGTAGCATTAACTCATCTGTGTTACTTTGTCCTGGGAGTTATGATGTTGTACTGGTTGACTGATGCCTCATTGAGGTAGAAATAAGGGTTGGTGGTGAGGGCACTAAAACTTTAAATCCTCATGTGCCTCTTTGATGAATGCAGCAGGACTGTAAGTGATTTAGGTTTGCAGTCCACATTAACTAATACATTTTCTGAAGACGTTGTAGCTTGTGGTCTAAACTGCTACGATCATGACAATCTTGTGACTTGAGCTTATTCTAGGTAGATCTTTCAGCTCATTAACTGGATTGCTGCTGTTTGGATTTAGTTGTTTCCCATATCAAACGTCTCGTTTCCTTTATGTTTAACAACTCAAGTACAAATAGACAACATAATTAAAGTGTGTTCACCACAAAATGCTACTGATCAGGAAGAAAGATGTACAGCGGGTACAATGGCTCTTGTTTTTGGACAAAAGCCAACTGTTTAGACACTAATTATTCATAAGATTTTCAATGTACGATGTGTCAATGATGACAATCCTATGAGATGCTTTCCTTCATGGCATAATTATAAATTCTATCATGCTGTAGAATTTGATTTTTACTCATCACAGTTGCTTTAATTTGCTTAAAGAATCTGAAATTGTTTGTCTTAACTTTAGCTTTGCCTCTTAACTTATAATAGATCTATTCCTTTAAATCTTTTAGGGCTTTACAAGCTTTGCCGGTCAATATTGATCCAATACCTGAAGAAATCATCCAAGAATTTGGACTTTTATGTCTCCATGATGTAAGTGACTTTTTCTTCACTCATGATGGGTCATGTTTTTTTATTTAATGAAATATTGCTTGGCACAAGTTTGGTCTGGTGCAATACAAAACATCTGTTGGGTTGCATTGTAATCTTACTTCTCAAAATTACCGGAACAAATTTGGCTAATGTATTAGATTATTAATATTGAATGTTTTCCCAAGAAGGGCATTATTTGAAGCCCAGAGGCAAGAGTTTTTACTTGATTTCCCATAAAACTTACCTCAGCCCTACTCACCTCAACTGTTTCCTCAAAATTCAACTAAGCCTATTGTCAAACTAGTTTGGACAGTTACATTAGTTTTTTCCTTCCTCTCCTTTATCTTAATCCATACTCCTTCAGAAATGGTTAGATGTCAAATCTTTCTTGATGACAGCTACCCCTCTTTATTCTTTCAACCATTACACATGCTCCTGTAGGCCTATCTTGTAATTGTAACCATCTAATTTGCCATTTTTTAATGTGTTCCTCAATAAATGTTGGTGTTCACGTTTTCTCAGTTAGCTTTATTTTCTTTTTTTTTTTTATCTTACTAGAGGGAAATGTTATCCATGCCAATAAGCACTGGTTAAGGGGATATTTATGGAAAGTATTTTTTTAATTAATGTATTGATTCTTTTTGAATTTGGTGAGTAAAGTGCATTAAGTGAAAAACTATTTTCTAAAATAAAACTTTAATTGATCTTATAAATTCCTATAGGCACCTGTTAACCAGGCCCTTTCTCAAATTATCAAACATTCACCGCAATATTCTCATTTGGAATTATTTTCTGATTTTATGTTTTGCTTATGTCCTCTATCCCTGGAAATCATATATTCTGGGAATTTGCTAAGTAATAAATATGCTTTAATAACAGGACTGGCTTGACAGCAAAAGCTATTGATTTCCTGATGACTGAAATTTGAAGCTATATTTATAAAAAATTAACTCACAATGTTTTCAAGTTAAAATCTTTACCTGAATGGGTCAAATGATCATCATGACTGACTATTGGTTCAATGGCTTTGACCCAAAATAATCTTTCTATTGATGTCAACCAGTCTTGGGAGACACTGGTCATACTTATAGGTTGGGTTGGCACTTGGCAAGCCTGGCTTGTAAAACAAAATTTCTGTTCAAGTGGGAGCTTGTGTGTGGATTACAGTATCTGCTACAAATTCAATGATTTGTTGAATTATCTGCAGTTTTTTGGAATAATTTATTTAAGGTTCCATTAATCGTTACTGATTGTGTCAAAAATAATTAGGTCCAAAAAGTACGAGACGTCTTAAATCATTTGTTAATAAAAAAGAAAAGAGATTGTCATTCTAAAGAGTGACTACAAAGTGATTAAGTTGTAGAGATGTATGTAACTTGGTTAATTTTTATTTTTCAAAAAGATTTATAAAACTTTGGAACTATGATGCTGTTTGATAAACTAATAACATTAAATGCTAAAAAATTAAGTGTTAAATATTCAGTCTTGAAATTTTTAGGCACTGAATTTATACTCAAACTGTTTAGTATGTAGCTGACAATCAAATACTAAATGGAATTTTTTATGCTTATTTTACAAAAAGGGAGATGATTTAATGCAGATTCCACATCTAATAAAAGTTAAAGGAAACGAGAGTATATAAAGTTAAGAAGGAAAGAATATGAAACTTATATGGTCAAATGATTAAAAAAATTAAAATACCATTGAATGTATTAAGTAACCTTTTAAGAACTTTCTCCACTGAAAACATTCTATTCTTTGGTTTTAAAATGGGTAACCAAATGCATTGAACGATTTAGTCATTAAAATTAAGAATTTTCAAAGAAATGAAAATCATCACAATGGTCTATCAAAAGAAAAATAAAATTTAATGGTCTATCTAACAACATCTAAGTTAAGTTGCAAATAAATCCCCAAGAAAAAGCAAAATGAATCAAACCATTTAAGAAGATGTGCTATAGAAACTAGTCACAACCCGAGCATGTCTATGAAACTTTACCCAAATTTCTAAAACCCCAAGTACAAGGCCTAAAGCCAATCTTTTGATGAATTACACTTGAGGACTTGTAACTTGTGTATGTACTGAAACTACTAAAGTTAAAAGGAATTTTTAAATAGGTGTGAAATTGAATGAGTTTGTCATGGTTTCAGCTTTGTCAAGCAAGGTTGTTAGTATTGTAGTGGACAGGGTTTCAGGGTTTCTAAATATGGTTGGTATGCAGTGGTATCAGTTGTTTCATACATGATTTTAGCTTTTTCAGCACTATACAACATAACATGTTATAGACACGTGTATGTATGTATCAAAGTTTGTCTCTATAGATATGCATATATTTGTTGTAGGTTGTGTGTGTATTTATGAATCTCTATAAAGTATTGCCTTTAGCAATATATAAAAAGACCATATAAAGTATTTAATAGCCCAAATGCTTTCAAGTGTCGATTTTTATGAGATTAAATGTAAAGTATAAAGTATGAGTTTCAAGTCATCATTAAACTAGAGATTGAAAGCCACTTGAAACCATTTTAACTCTAGATAATTTGATAGTTTTAGGATTTAAAAAAGAAAAAATAATAAAAAAGAGCGTTTTATATATTTTTTGAGGAGTTGGAATAGAAAAATATAATAAAAATGAGGATTTTGGTATTAGTACAAAATTAACAAAATTTCTTTCAAGGGAAGGGAAAGATAAATGGTCAGGCAATCTCTTACCTTTTGATGTTCCATTGTTTAGCAGTATTTCTGTGGTTTGTTCTTGTTGGTTGTTTCTTTTTCTATGGCTAGCTAAGTATTGGTTGCTAACATTGTAGGCATACAGTGGTATTCACCAGCCAAAGAATTTAGAGGAGGCTGATTTAGCTCGCAAAAGGCTCATATTTGATGAGTTCTTCTATCTACAGGTAATCTTCATTTGTGATTTAGTACTTGCTAGATGTTAGGAGTATACTATTTATTAATTTATTGCTACCATTATGATTTTCTTTTTCTTTAGCATCTGTTTCTATTGGATGACATCTCTTTCAATTAATTAGATTGACTTCCATCATAGTTAAAAACCTCCACATTCCACAAAAAACCACCACCGTACCAACATTGTGGTAACTTAGTGCTGTATTGGAAAATGGAACTGCTGAGGCACTACTTGCTATCAGCTCACCTCAGTTTGGCGCTTCTATTGATTCTCTTTACATTTTAAGAATTGGAAGCTAAATTGTTTTGTAGATTTCTGCTATAAAGTTGGGCTTGACTTTTGAGAGAGTCTTGGCAGTTTAAAGTAGCTATTCTTTTAAAATTATCTTGTGGCGGAAAGCATGTTGAGGGGCAATTAATATAATTTTTCATGGAAACTTAGTGAAGATCTTTTGTTTAGGTTTTTAGTTGTCATTAATTACTTCTTTTTGTATTGTATTGGTAGACATGTATTGTTATAAGGAGATGTGTACATGATTGTTATAGTACTTTTGTGGTATTATGTTAATAATAGCAAAGAATCAAGCCTTTTTCCACTTTGTGGGCTGTCTACTTCAAACAAGAAGTTTACTGTGCCCTATTTAGTATCATATTTTTTGTGAGATCATGAAAAAACATGGTTTGTATATCATTTTTCTTTTGAATAATTCTCACCCATCTTCTTTAGTCTTTCCCTTTCTACTTTGACATACACATCCTCCACCAGGGAGCATTGCTTGCAGGCCCATACATAAGCCTTTATCTCACATGTAGTCTAACTTATGCATTTCTTCCTCATTTTATTCTCAACTGGCTCTACAATGCACCTTCTGCCTTAGCAGTCATTTTCTTGTATGCTCACACATCTATTGTAGCAGCCAAATCTTGGCTACATTTCTTTTTTTGTACATGTTGATACTTAACTGCCTAATATATGGTGCCATAAAATATTGCTAGTGTTAGAAGTCCTTAAAGCTTTTTTCTTAAGTGGTACTTTGCAGTCATACTAGACTCTAGATGCACTTCGCTAATTCATACCTCCTACATATATTTTTATGCTTGCCATTTTCATTAGTTGTGCCATCCTTTGAAAGGTTGAGCCAATGTTTGATCTCCAATACTTACTACCATGTCTATTTTCAATTCTCACTACTATTCTATTACCCCTTCTGGCTTTGTCTGTTTGTTTTATTGGCCAATTCTTCTGGCGTTGTTGAAATTTCTTTCCATGTACTCCATTTTATAAGATGATTGCCTTAATACTTAAGAGTGTGTTGGATTTGGGGGATTCAGATATTATTCCTGTGAACTATATGGGAACCGTGAAATATCCCAACGTCCAGAACTACTCACAAGTTAATTGAAGGGGTCATCAATGATTGTTGAGTGGGCCAGAATTCCAAGTCTTGTGGGAATTCAGTGCCCCTCAAAACAGGTGTCTTTTAGAGATTGCACAACTTGAGAATCCTAAGCAAAATTTTTTGAACCATTTAGCCCTCATCCTTCAGTTGTCAGACCATTTTCTTCCTTTTTTCTTTTTGTTTCATTTCCTTTTTCTCGTCTTGTCCATAGCTGCAACCACCTTCCCACACTGTGATCATTTCCCTTTTTTGTTGTTTCTTGCCAGTACTATTGCTTTTTGATTATTGTGATGTAATCAACCTTAGGTGTGATTCTTGAGGAACCCTTCGTGTGAAGCTTAGGATCTTCTTTCTTTATCTAACATTCCTATTTTCCTCAAGTATTTGGATTACAAAACAGCCATAAACCTTAACCTCCTTGCTGTTACACATCAGATTTTAAACTAGGAGTTTGAATAGCTCATTTTCTTCGTTGTCTCTTCCCAAGTTTGATTTTGAGGACTTCCCTGAATTTCAAGATATTTTGAATTCTTGAAATGTTGTCTTATTTCTTATTTTTAGTGGTGAACCTGCACTATCATGGCACCTACTTGTAACGTCATACGTAAAGTAAGGAAAATGTTTCTTTACATGAAATGTTGGAGATGTGGTTTTTGGCACTTGAATGCTGATACGTAATATGACTCCGTCTAAAGCTTATTCCTTATAATGGGCTATACTTGAGTCAGGTGATATCAGGCTGGGTTGAACTCAGGGAAAGATTACTTGCAAATGAGTGAGCTTAGGCATAGATTGGCTACTCAGCTTTGCATGATTAACAAATTTCATTGACCATGAGTGTGCTCTTCAAACTGTAGCACCGTGTGATGCTGCCTTGGTGTTTAGACATGCTTTCTTTGGTTTCTTTTTTGGCTGCAGTTTTGGTTGATTATCTTGTATTTCTTTCCAAGTTATCAAGTGATTCAACTAAGATAAAAGCTGCAATTCTGTGCTTTTATATGTAATAGTTTATCTTTATTTTATGACTTCATAGTTTACTTTAATCAAGCCCTATATGGGGGCTGCATGGGCAAAAAGGGATATCCCTTTTTTATGACATTGTTGTTCGGTGTGCTTTGTGCACCTTGAAAATATTATCAGCAGGTTCACAGTTGTGATATCATTGCATTAGTAGAATGTCCTGTCTGAGATTCTTGTTAATGAACATTATTTTAGATGAGAATGCAATGGTGTCATTGATGGATAATTTGTCGGAATAGTTATTGGCTACTCATGATTAAGTAGATAAATTAGAAATTTATGATGTCTTCATTCCTGTTATCATATCTGAATATCATACTGTTTTCTTGCTGATAACGCCTTGGGCTTTAATATTATGCATGAGTTGCACATATACTCAAAAGAAAAATAATCCTATCTGCAGTTAGGACGCTTTTTTCAAATGCTTGAAGGTCTTGGCACAAAAATTGAAAAAGATGGATTGCTGGACAAGTACAGAAAACCTGAAGTGAATGCTGCTTATATGGAAGAATGGTCTAGTCTGACCAAGAAATTTTTGAAAGCTCTTCCATATTCCCTTACCTCTGGTCAGCTTAGAGCTATTTCAGAAATTATATGGGATCTGAAGAGGCCAGTCCCAATGAATCGACTCTTACAGGTTCTGGATTTTGCATGAATGCTACTGTTCTTTCATTATACAACTGTCTACAATCTGTTTCTAGTTGTGTTGAGGCTTGCATATGTCTTTTGAAATTATATTTAAAGCTGTTGTTCTGGAAGCTAATATTTCTAATCTTGATTGCAAATTTGCTCTCACTACAAAAGTATAGATGAGCTGTTTATGTGTCAACAATTATAATGTGCTGTTTGGTTTGCATGTGCCGTCCCCCTCACCTTCTACCCTAACTCCCTTTAAAGAAATACATCCAATAATTTGAAATTTCAAATCAGCCCTCCAAAACAAAATGATATATGTGCATCTCCCTTCTAAGACTACGATACTCTGCAACAATTAGTAGCATATTCTTGGTAATTTTAAAATCTCTTTGATCTTGAATATCATCTCCTTCATTTATCATTCTATGATTATTGAAAAAGAAAGGATTGGTAAATCTCCTTTGTGCTCTAGGTTGCAGACTTCTTGATGCTTTCTGCGAGGTTTTGCAAATCTAATGGAATATAGAAAAGCTTATTGGTTTGACTAGTTCCTGATAAAAATAAAAAGATTAGTTTGAACTTGCTTGTATCTTTCCTGATTATTTCCTCCCAAAATTTTAGTTTAAGACCATGCTTAAGGCTAGCCTCTAGTGGCTCAGGTTTTGGGTTCTTCTACCTGCTGGAGATATTTCATTTTTATTCCTTGAAATTCTGGTTGTGCCATTATGTTTATGTATATTTGATAAAATTTCTGAAAGAGACAATAGCTATAGCAAATAAGAGCTAAGAACTAAGAATGCCAATTTTAATTGAAACAACAGGAATCAGTAGAGGAAGGATATCTAGGGCTGATATAAATATGAATAATAAATATATATTCAACAAGTTACTGTTGTGTGAAAATGGGATTTAGTTTACCGTGAGATATAGATATGGATTCTGATTTTGAGGTGTCACATTACGAGAAACGGGATTTTTTCTAGAACCTTGAATTTGTTGACAGTATGACAATCTGTACCACCCAGAATGAGATAATGGGGCACTAACTACAAGGGACAATCTATTCTCAACAACTTGCTCATGCCAGAAATATTTTTACTAATGATCCTTGACACAATAAATATAAAAATACTAATTCCAATGGCAACATATACTCTTCATAGAAACCCTGAACTTTTATATGTGCTTGTTTTTGTATTTAAGAGCAAGTTATATATTTGTAGTGGTGACTTTACCTTATAAGGAATAGCTTCATCTTGAATAGACAAAGAATAATTTTTTATCTGAAAGGAAGAGGAACACAATCTATATAAAGAGAGTTGAAATAGATTTTTATCTGATCTTTGTTGTATATGTAACTGTTATTCTTAGAAACTGATAAACTTCCTTGATATATGTGGATGCTCTTTCTAGGGAGATGTTGGATGTGGGAAAACCGTGGTAGCTTTTTTGGCATGCATGGAGGTTATTGCCTCTGGTTATCAGGTTGGTAAATTTAAGCTACTTCCACACTCAAACCTCTTTTATAAAACTTTTGAAAAGTGATCAATACATGCTGCTAAGCATATATATGGTGTTGGTAACCTCAGTCATTATGGTAGAATATGAGGTAATCTTGTTTGTGTTATTATTAGTGTTCCCTGGTATGCTATTCTTGACTGGTTTTAATAGCATATAATTATTGATTTAAGTTGACTTTATCTGATTTAGGCCGCTTTCATGGTTCCTACTGAGTTGCTTGCAATCCAGCATTATGAGCACTTCATCAATCTGCTAGAGATTATGGAGGAGGTTGAGTGTAAACCTTCTGTTGCTTTACTAACAGGATCAACCCCACTGAAGCAATCACGTCTGATTCGTAAGGCATGTATCATCATCTGCTGCCTTTACGTTGTGTGTAACCATCTTGAATTTCATTAACCTTTCTAGGCTACAGGATCTCCAAACTGGGAATATCTCTCTTGTCATTGGAACCCATAGTTTAATAGCCGAAAAAGTGGAGTTTTCTTCGTTACGTATTGCTGTGGTGGATGAGCAGCATCGTTTTGGTGTTATCCAGAGGGGAAAGTTTAACAGTAAGGTTGTCCACTTTTATTGGGCTAGAAAATCATACATACTATGCAATTATCTAAGGAGCTATATGTGCTGATGATGAATCTTATTGAATGTGATATCTTGAGATTATGTTTTGGTCATCAATAAAATGGTGGATAAGAATAGTTTGGATGTGATTCTTTTCTTCTTTTCCATCTTCTCCTCTAACAGAAGTGATCACATTGTTTGTTGTCCCTGTGTGTTCCTGGGTCTTGTAAAATATATGTTGACTTCTCATTATCACAAAGCTGAAAAGTTGATAGTGCCCTCTTAATGATAACAAATTTTGACAAAAGAGCTCTGTGCAATCAAAGTTTCAATTTTTGCTTCATGTTTTACTTTATTGTCTTCTTACCCAAATTTTGTGTGGGTGTTTGTGTTTTTGAGCCTGTGGAGTTGTAGTATCATTTTGAGGAGATAAAAATATATCGCAACAGTTATATAAGTTTTATCTTCTAATCATTGTATTACATTTGGATTATATTAACCCCTTTTGCTTTGTTGGTGGTGAAGTACCTTGTTCACCTAAAATCTTGTGTTTCATTGCATTGTCAACATTCTCATGATTTGTTTTTTGGCTCAATTTTCATGAAATATTTGATACAGGGCAAGTGTAGCTATACATATGTTGGATTGATATTGTTGTCAACTAACAAATTGACATCTTATTCAGCTGTCACTTTTAACCTTAACATACAACATGTTTGTCAATACATTTACATGTCAATCAACTTCTTGAAGTCCTGAATTTTGATTGTTATCTACAAGTTAAATACCAATTGACATTAGAATGCAGGCCATCACAAAAGAAACACTGCTAGACTCCTGAATTATGATTGTTATCTACAAGTTAACTAGCAGTTGATACTAGAATGCTGGTCATCACCAAAGAAACACTGCTAGATGCCCCTGCCCCAAACACAATGCTGGAAAAGGGAAGTTTTTATCCTGGAGTCTGATTAATGAAATATGTTGATTAACCCTGCATGTCTGTGAAGGTGTCATTTGTCATATTTGGCTTTGCCAGACACGATTATTCCATCTTTAGATATTAGAAGGAGTTACTCTTTTTGTTATGTGCAAATGTTGTTATATAATGAGTTAATGGAAAAACTTAACCTTACAGCTATATTATACTTCTACAAGCTCGAGAATGCAAGTGGCGGACTCAGATGTTTCCTCTAAACATGACACACATATGGCTCCTCATGTTCTTGCCATGTCAGCTACCCCTATCCCAAGGACGCTTGCTCTGGCTTTGTATGGGGATATGTCCTTGACACATGTATGTACAATTTGCTATACTTCCAGTTGCTTGAATTCTCTGTAGTTGCATTTCATTTTAAATTAGATGAAATCCTTCAAATGCTTTGTATTGAACAACCTGTCAGAATCTAGAATACATTCTCAAATTCTGTTAATTTCTTTATTGAAAACTTTGTCATGATTCTACTCAATTTGTTCTTGAATATATCTTTTAGTGATGCAAAAATTTATACAATAAAAAGAAAAAAAAAAGCATAGAAGCATGATACATGGAAGTATACAAGGTGCCTAGGAAAGAAAGGAGTGTCCAAGTTTACAGTATCTAATATTCAACAATCAATCCCTGAAAATCAGAAGAAAAATTTAAATGATATATTGAGGTGGGTTACAGAATCGGACCTTTAGGATAATTTGGACAACTTTATAGTGCACTTGAGGGACTTATTTACAGTTATGTTGCTCATTTCTTGCTAATGATTATTCTCTCATTCCTGTAATGACAGATTACAGACTTACCTCCTGGAAGAATACCTGTTGAAACACATGTCATTGAAGGAACTGACAAGGGCTTTGAGAATATTTATGCGGTAAAGCATTTTCTTGTTTGAATCTGTTGAAATACTTTTGGCCAAAAAAAAAAAATCTGTTGAAACTCTTCATGTGTCTGTTTCTTTCTTACTTGAAAGGAAAAAGAATGATGATTTCTGGATAACTGAATATGATACGGTATACTCTTAGTTGTATAATGTGTTTGGTGTCATTTTGGTTGCCTTCACAAGCATGTTTTATTTGTGCTTTTGGAGTCAAAAAAACTACTGCTGTAGTAGTTACTGCTTGGGAATGCTAACATCGCATTTCATATCAGAGAAGTCAATTGAAGAGAGAAAAACTAGAACAGGAGAATAAAAATTCTCTCTTATTCACGTGATTTATTATTATATTTTGTAGAAAATCCTTATGAGCCTGCCTTGCGTTGTTATAATGAATGCTTAATTTTAGTGTAATTATGAAATTATTTATTATAGTTCTCAGAGCAATAAAAAGAGATGGGGCCAAGACCAAGAAATATATATAACATGCCTTCAACAAAATGCAGATTGTTAAGTTGTGCATGAATTTCAGTTTCGCTATTTATTTCAACTGGTGAAGAATCCAACAATTTATTTTGAACTTTTTTTTTTCCTAACAGATGATGCTAGAGGAATTGGAAGCAGGAGGAAGAGTGTATCTTGTATATCCAGTCATTGAACAATCTGAGCAATTGCCTCAGCTTCGGGCTGCCTCTGCAGATCTTGAGACCATATCAGATCGGTTTCAGGATTATAACTGTGGGTTGTTACATGGAAGAATGAAGGGTGATGAAAAAGAAGAAGCTTTGAGAAGGTTTAGGTCTGGAGAAACAGATATACTGCTTTCCACTCAAGTAATTGAGATTGGCGTTGATGTTCCAGATGCATCTATGATGGTTGTTATGAATGCGGAGAGATTTGGAATAGCTCAGTTACACCAACTTAGAGGACGAGTTGGTCGTGGGACAAGAAAGTCTAAATGTATACTAGTAGCATCTACTGCTGGTAGCCTAAATCGCCTGAACGTGCTTCAGAAGTCATCAGATGGCTTCCACTTAGCAAGTGTGGATCTTCTTCTACGTGGACCTGGTGATTTACTTGGCAAAAAACAGTCTGGACACCTTCCTGAGTTTCCTGTTGCCAGATTGGAAATGGATGGCAATATTTTGCAAGAGGCACATGTTGCTGCATTGGTAAATGTCATCCCTCTTTGTTATTTAAATGCTTTTTGTTTTTGTTTAATTTCTTTTGAGTTACGGATGTCTTCCTATGGCATAAGTTTTCCTTGTTAATAGTTATCCGTTGCAGGAAATATGTGTATTTTTGTTCTTGATTAAGATACTAGATTTCTTTAAACAATTGATCATTGCATGTCCTAGGATTTCTGCATTTCTATGGAGGAATGTCTCATGTATAGGTGTTTGCTTTATGTCCTTAAGTGTTTGCATGAAATAATTATTCAAACATGCACTCCTAGCAGTAAAATCACTATTAATAAAATCTAAAACTATGCAAGTAGCCATAGTCTTTTGAAAATAGTGCTATAGAGCTGTTTCTTGACTATTGACAATGCCATGTCTTTGTTTTGGAATTCCAATGTTAGGCTTTAGGCTTTACCATATGGCATTGATTTGCCCCTCAGAATGAGTTCTACTGTTAATTCTGGTGCCCTTTGTGTGCATCTATAACACTCACTGGTTTCTCTATATGCAGAAAATCTTGAGTGATTCTCATGACTTGGATCGATTTCCAGCACTCAAAGCAGAACTTAGCATGCGACAGCCACTTTGTCTTCTGGGTGATTGAGCTATGGCATGGTAAATTCAAGTTATCATAATTTATGTTGAGCATAGGCTGCAGTCTTTGCATGGGACTTAGACCTTCCTCTTATAGGATCCTCTTTAGGTGGGTTACTTGATTTTTTGGCTGTATGCTCATTCGATGTGCTGTAAATCCACAATCATTTAGTTAAAGCTGTACAGTTTTCAATGTTGTATATTCTACTGTGAATAAATGAAGTTGATTGTTCCATTTAAAAGAAAAAGGTTGAAATACAATTCTACAAGTTCATAATAGTGGCATGTCACAGCATCTAGCCACTTCGAGTAAGTTGGATTCGGGCATTCTTTAAAATTGTTGGGTTGATTCTTTTGCTTTCAAGTATTTAAACGGATTGTTAGGGTAGTTTTGACTAATTTGATTGTCAATTCTACCAAATATTTTGTTGTTTCGTGCTATCTGAGAGAGCTTGACTTGTTTGTGGCTGAAAATAGCGTGGTGTGAGAATGGTAAAGATGGGAAAATTAAACTAGTACTGCTTGGTACAAGGGGGAAAAGTTGTAGGAAATGTTTAAAGATAGCTTGAGTCATTTTGTCACCTGCACCTGTAAACAATCAATCTTTAGATTGTGAAAGATTATAAGAGAAAATTCAGGTGACGTGGTCAAATTGTGTAGGTTCTTTATGTCTTCAAACATTAGTTGGGCTTATGATTTTATTTTATATTCTTCTCTCTTTGCTTTCCTACCAGGCCAAGGAAATTTACATCTTTTTTACTCTGTGTTTATAACTTTTCTTTTTTTAATGACACTAACACAAGGAAGAATTTTCTTTCTTTCCTTTGACTTTTCTATTTTTCTTTATTCTATTTGATGCTTTTTCCTTCCTTTCTAGTTCCCACTACTGTATATCTGAAGCTCAACCCTAAAAGCTTTAAACTTTGTTAATATATTACAAGATCCTTGGCTCTGTTTCACTGTATTTAAAAAATAAAACAGAAAAGAAAAAGAAGCAACTTGGATTCACATGGAACAAGTCAAAGAAAAGGAACTAGGCTTTTCTTATTCACATCCCATACTTTATATATATAGTTCTTAGACATTTTCAAAATGATATTGTTATATTGATTCCTTTTTTTTTGCCCATAATTTATGACTCTAGAATTGTATTATTGTTTTCGAGTTGTTTGTTCTTAGTTGGTTTTCATGAAAATTTAAAAAATATATATTATAATCTTCGATAATTTTTAATGTCAAAAAAATTAAATAAAAATAATGAAAAATAACTACAAGGAAGGGAATGCATTTCAGTATGAATAGGGGAAATCTACTCTACATTCTTACCACTAATCAAAATCATATAATGGAAATGAGTTGCCTTTCAGCTTGATCCAAAACCTGTAAACCCAAAACCCTAATAATATGAATAAAAATGGTGATAAGATATTAGGATGGCATGTCCCAAACATGAATTCAGATTATTTTTGGTTGTCTTTGAGCTGAAAACATGTATGTGTGGATTGCTTGTTGGAACAATATCCTATATAATTCACTCATTGTTATTATAACACTGCATCACAGTGTGCCCTGCCCTCACTTCATCTTGGATGTGGCACACAAACGACAAACCTCTTTGCATATAGAAACAATGCCCCTCAATCAAAGCATAATTAATTTCAGAAGTTTCGGGGTCCCTAACTCTAAAAATAAATAATAAAAAAAAAGTCACATATATTTGGTTTCTTGTTAGTACTGGTTTTTACCTCAATGATAATCCTCACACATGTGGCCATTGAGAGAGTTTTCAGGCGTGGGGGCAGTGAAGAGGGGCCCCACATGTTATCCACTGAGATTACAAAACATGGGATGTTGATGACCAGCCAATGAGGGATCCCCAGGAGGGTGAGGACAAGCAGACAAGTGGGGCCCATACTTGGTTCCCTACCCAATCATCAAGGCTGGGACCCACCTGGTTTCCATGTTCCATGTGTTGTCCCTAAACCTAATCATCATCCGACGTGGGCCCCGTATGGACCGTCGACTCCAACAGCCCACGCTTTTGCCATGTATTTGCTCAACTCTTCCGCTCCTAGGATCTCCCTTCTCACCATTCCCATTCCCGTTCCCATTCCTTCCCCTCCTCCCCATGGAAAAGTTGAGTCCGGGCGTGCATGACATTTTACGGCACACATGGTAGAAAAACCCAAAATATAGGGTCCGCTTTTTGTGTTTGCCCTCTGC